CTTAAGCTCTCAAGCTTGAAGAGGAAGGCCCAGTCTCGGCGACCTGAGTGTAAGGATACCCAGGGGGTTTACGCTAGGTTTTCCGCCGCGGTCCCGTAAACACGTTGCGCGGCGCCGCGCAACGTGTTTAGGCTAGGTTTTCCGCACCGAAGTAAGGCTTACCCGTGCGGAAAACCTAGCCTATCCACGTTGCGCGGCGCCGCGCAACGTGTTTACGGGACCGCGGCGGAAAACCTAGCGTAAACCCGAAAAAGCTCACTCTTCTGGGGGTCCTTTACTCTATCCATCACAGAGAGAGTTTTTGACCCAGGTAGGCCCCTCCCACACGTATCTCCTCACGTTTTCTCCCATGTGTAGAAAAAGAAAACGCTTGCAAGTCTTATTGTTTTGCTTACTCGGTTATTTTAGTTTCTCGAGTACTTCGGGGAGGGTATGCAAATTCTCCAGAATTTGCATACCCTCCCCGAAGTACTCGAAAAAAAATGAACTGGCCTACGCTTCGCCCCAATGAGATGGCCTCTGTCTTTCTTAATTTTCAAACTTAAAAAGGTTTTTTTCAAACTCAACTCTTGCAAGCCTTAAGAACGTGTCCTGCTGCAGATGCGGCGCCCTTCCAGCAACAGCAACGGATGCTGGGGTAGCTTGCTCACTGCGCGACGCCATTGGAGGAAGCTGCAAGCCGGGAGATGCTGTAGTCGTGGTTGTGAATGGAGACGCAGACGGAGAAGAAGAGGCTGCACCAGGGCCGGTGGTCGGCGATGAAGAAGAAGAAGCAGAAGTTCCCGGTGCAAAGAGAGACGCCGGCGTGGTTGTAAAAGGAGCTCGCCCACTGGGCGACGACATTCGAAGAAGCTGCAAGCCGGTAAGTGCTGTAGTCGTGGTTGTGAATGGAGACGCAGACGGAGAAGAAGAGGCTGCACCAGGGCCGGTGGTCGGCGATGAAGAAGAAGAAGCAGAAGTTCCCGGTGCAAAGAGAGACGCCGGCGTGGTTGTAAAAGGAGCTCGCCCACTGGGCGACGACATTCGAAGAAGCTGCAAGCCGGTAAGTGCTGTAGTCGTGGTTGTGAATGGAGACGCAGACGGAGAGGAAGATGCGGCACCAGTGCCGGTGGTCACTGATGAAGAAGAAGAAGAAGAAGACGTTCCCGATGCAAAGAGAGACGCCGTCGTGGTTGTAAAAGGAGACGCAGGCGGAGAAAGCGCGGACGTCCTCGCCAAAGGTAGCGCACTGGTCCCAGTGGTCAGTAATGAAGTAGTAGAAGACGAGGCTGAAGCCCAAGTTGAAGTTGAAGTTGAAGCTGAAGTTGAAGTTGAAGTTGTTGCTATTGTTGATCTCGGCGCTGCCGTCAGCGTCCACGCGAACAGCGACGAACACCTTGTCGCGCTTGGCAACGTTGAGGCGCTTTCCAGTGCTTTCGAGTTCGTTGCTGTTGCGACTGTAGTCGTAGGCGAACCAGAGGAGGGCCCTGGCACAGTGAGAGACGACTCTGCTCCAGCAGAATCTTGAAAGTCTAAGGAGGCGGACAGCGACGGATCTACGCTCTTACCAGCGACGCGGGGCGACGCTCCTTCATGAGTGTCCACCGCCGTCAGCCCACCAATATCATCGCCATGCCCATTGTCACCAAAAACGTCTGGAAATTCATCGCCAGAAACCTCCTCGATGTCGTCGACGACTCCCTTTCCTCTCGGCTCTTTGGCCTTCTTTTGTAGTCCTCTTCTTCCTTGGGGGTCTTTTACCGGCACCCGCAGCGTTTTTGAGATTAGAGAACACAGCCACCCAATAACATATAAAAACTTACCTACTTCATTTATGAACAAACTGCCGCCCAGTATCGGGCGACCTAGCAAATTACTGGACAAACTCGCGCAGAGCTACGCGCTAGGTACTAAGAAGCAGCCACGCCATAACTGAACCCCACGGATGTAGACGCGCCTCCCCCCTTCCCCCGCAAACCAAGCCTCCTCCACCGTCTCGTAATTGGGTCGGCGCTTTTTAGTTGGGGGGGCGCCCTCGTCTGCCGATGTCAATGCCTGTGGTGGTGATGGTTCGCGCGCGGTGATGGGCGTTAGGCTTGACGATCAACAAGAAACCAACTCAAGAGGAGCAAGATACTAGGCAGCGACTAAAAAGAAAGAAGGTCAGCACCCATTCACGGGCGACTCAAGAAAAGCAGGACACTAGTCAGCGACTAAAGAGCAAGAAAAGACTAGATTTTTATAACGAGAAATAGGAATACCGATGGGAGGCAGACCGTCCCAGCCTCGTTCCTTTCGGGCGGTGGAGGCTGGCCCAGTTTCGGGGCGGCGCTGCTGCTTGCGCGGTTGGAGGTGAAGAATTCCGAAAAATCCTCCAGAGTCATTTGATTGGCGTCGTTCTTGCTAGAAGTGGAACTCTTGGCGCTGATTTTCATATTCTTGTAGTGGTACTTTCCCGCCTCGTCATACCAGGACACATGCCTGACCTTTCCGATATTGCCGGCGGCGCGCTCCTTTTCAATGGCCGCTTCCATCTTGTTCGTCCGTGTAGTAAAATTGGCAGTAATTGAATGAAGCGACGGTCTACTACTACTACTACTACTACTACTACTACTACTACTACTACTACTACTACTACTACTGCGATACTACTAACGATGAAGAACCGACCAGAGAACTCGCACTCTCGCACTATATCAAGGCCCAAGGTTTAGTATCCTACCAACGAAGTACTTCCAACAATAGAGGCGCACTTCTTTCCTGGCCAATTCTCCTGCATAGAAGTGGATCCGCGCAGCCAAAACGAAAGCAAAGAGCAAGCATCGATCAGCAAGCAAAAACTAACAAGGAGGGGTAGACTTGACCTGCAGAAGAGCTATTTCGAAGCGCATAGATTTTAGTACCACAGACATACAGAAGCAAGCAAGTCAGAAGAGGTGATCTAAGAAGCAAGTCAGACGCGTTGACTCTTCTATTTTGAAGCGAGTAGATTTTCGCACCACATACAGAAGCAAGCAAGTCAGACGAGTTGATCCAGGAAGCAAGTCAGACGAGTTGATCTAGGAGAGTGCTTTAATCCGGTCACGCAAGATCTTTTCACTTCTTCACTCATTCACTCATTCATGTTCGCGTGTTCTTATTCAATTGGTGCCACGTAATCTTGCTTGGGATCTGCTCAGAACCGTGGCTGTATGTTTCGTTCCTCTTTCTTTCTTCATCTTTTGGTATCTTGAACTTTTTCTATCGCATTGAACTATTGAACTATTGAATTATTGAACTAGTTCAATGTTTTATAGAAACGGGTGAGAGCCAATCTAGGNAGCAGCAAATGCGGAAGGCGGCAACACGGTATTGGCAGACCTGTTGGTGGCACGCAAAGTGGCTAATAAGAACTTGAAGGCTGGCACGAGTGCAGGTCGTTCCAAAATTGTAGTCAAGAACGTTGGCGAAGTTGCAGCAGGATTAGTTTTATGGATGTTGTTCGGTGACTTCTACATATTCGATTTTTGAATAATCGTCTAGAAACAGCAACATTGATTTTTGAATAAATCAAGGATATTAAGGAAATCCACAACTGCGTACTACCACTAAGAGTGCACTTGTTGTGTGGTCGTGAATGACATTGGATGAGACCGAAATAAGCAAATGTATGTATGAGTCGACTGACATAAATGATAAAAAAGGTCGTAAAGAGCACGAAGACGACGCTCTACTCCAGCAGTTTCTCATTGTCATATCTCTCTTCTCCCAACTCGCTGATTTGCAACATCATAAAATTCGTACACTCTAATCCTTGGTGGCACAACAACTGATGCTTCTGAAGGCGGAAGCTTTCAAGTGGGTGGCAGCTCTGCGTCGAATGCGGGAGAGCAGAACGTTCTCGACCGCACTAACGAAGGAAACTTATGTTAAGATTTCGTCTTTGGAAGAATTGGAGTAATCCATCGTATTAATGTGAATCATTATTGTATTGTGAGTCTACTTTATCTTCATTCAAAATCCAGCTTTCACTGTGATCGTCCTACTCAGATTATCCGACATCACCTTACATTCTCACTCAAGTGCAAAACTCCATGCAGATGTACTCCATTGTGCGAAATTATTATATTCAGAATATGGCGCGTACTTCGATAGCATGATTATCGAGGATCCTATTCTTCAATCCAATTTTTATATTCACGCTTCTGCCAGAGGTGGTCGATATATGTGAAGGTGGGCCTTCCCACCTCCACTTGTAACCACAGAAGTTCTGCCCACCTCCACCACGTCCACCAAACCTGTCCTCCAACTCCTCTTCTAATCCACTTCTCTCCGCGAATACACAAGAAGATTTGACGCCTTTGCTGTTGTTCAACCTCTGCCAGAACATGTCACCCATGGACTGCTTTTTGCTGAATATCGAACGTCCCTGCAGTCTTTTCCTGACCTCCCAGCCGGTGCCGCCGGGTCCCATAAGACCTACCGTCAATGCAGGAAATTGCACTTATGTTGGCAGGGTTTCAATTTTTTGTTTTTAAACACACGCGCTCCTAAGGTAAATAAGAAGTGCAAGGGTCTTGGTTTCCACGAGGTAATTAATACCTCGTTTCACTTTCACTACGTGATAATGATTAAAGTGAAACAAGTCTTTCTCGGCAGATTCAGAAGGGTACTACATTCACTGAGAGGTTGATGTTTCTTGAAGGTGTTACTCGTGCGACGTAATTGCTTACTTCTCCTTCTACGTCGATTTCAATGTCTTTTTCTAATGCCCCAACGACGACGATTTGACACATCAAATCGGCAAGATTTTTTACGGCGACAGCATAATCCGTGGAGACATGAAGGATGGGACTTCTCCGACTGTGCACATCTACGATCTGTGGCGTGACGTGCAAACCGAGTGCGCCAGAAGCGTTTTTAACTCAACTGTCGCTGGCTTGCCTCAGGAGACACGCTTTCGAATGGGCGAAAACAAGAAGCAGATCCGAACCGTGGCTAGTCGCTTGAAAGGCAAGGAGGGACGATTTCGCGGAAACTTGATGGGGAAGCGAGTAGATTACTCAGGGAGAACAGTCATTTCGCCAGACCCAAATGTGGAAGTGGATGAAATTGTGATACCGGAACATGTCGCGAAGAAGATCACTTATCCGGGAAGAGTAACGGATCGGAATATTGCGGAATTGCGTAAAACCATTGTAAATGGAGTCGAAAAACATCCGGGAGCGTTCATGGTCGAAAAAGTGGGCGCAGGGAATTTTCCACTGGTACTTATTTTTTGCTAAAAATGTTGTTTAGAAGCTGCAGCACCAGTATCTGCTAATCGTGAACACTTCATAACAGTTGTATTGTTGAGCAGTACTCATAGTTAGTAATACGAGCAGTATCTAGATCTACATCTACCTCTACTCATTATGGTAGTACCACTCCGTTCTCGACCTGGTGGTGCGTCCACGTCAATTGTCGATCCTTTGATGCTGCTTTCGCAGTTTTTCAATTTCTTTACATTTGATTGAATCAAAAAAGGTCGATTCACAATCACGACGAGACTTCGTCAACCCCTGCTACAACGATCTGGCTGCAACTCCTGCAACAACTACTGCTACTCGCTGCAACCAAATTGGCCGCTTTAAAAGAATAAAACCATGTGCACAGTACAGGTTCCTCTTTTTACACTTACTGATACAACTTTTGGGATATAGCAGAGGGAGGACCTCCTGAGCAACGGTACTAAAGACCACGCAGATAACTTTCCTGCAGAAGTTGCGAACGCGAACAGTACTCCGGATGACGATGTGGTAAACGATTTTCTGAAGATTCAGAGACCACTTGTTGATTCTTCGTACTCAAGGACAGGAGGCCCTTCGTTCTCAAGTACAGGAGTAGGGCATCCTCAACCAGGAAGTATCCGATGGAAATCGTCCACAGTACTAGACGGAACAGATCATGTACTACAGACGCAAAAAGGAGCCCCCGCTCCACCTGGTTCGATCCTCGAGTCGAGGAGAACGTCCTCTGTGATAGCAACAGGACTAAGATCTGAGCTACCGGATGCTACTAGGTCTGAGCAATGGCAAGCACAACAACAGCGGCTGGGGGAAACAAGTTTTCGCCCAGGTAGTTTGGCTCGATTTTGTGCACCGACACGTGATCGTGATAGGAATTTACCGACATTTGATAAAGATTCATCACGTGGTCTTTCTGGGAGTGGTCAAGAAACAAGAACAACAAGTACTAGTAGAGATCACTACAGAGACAGAGACACTGGGAATCCGGGAGGTGGAGGCCATTACAGAGAAGTTAGGGAACAAGATCGACGTCAAATAAGTAGTCCTAACCTACTTGTACCTGTAGCAGCTGTAGTGCCTGACGATGCGTGCCCACCTGCTGTTCCACGTTTAGGATCAACTGCGACGTCATCTACTTCGAGTTCTAGTCGGCCCTATCCTAGAAGTTCCTTTCTGGAGAATACCACTTCGAACCTTGCTGTAGGTCGTATTGAGAGAATACGGGAGATCAACTTCCCCAAGCAACAACAAGCTTTCAGGAGTAGAGAAGACATAATTGATACAACGAGTAAGAGCAGCACGACGAGGACGAGGTGGTCGTCTCCTTTACCTGATTCACCTCCGCGTCATACGTTTGCGCATAAGCTCCCGTCAATTTCACCTGCATCTTCTTCTGTCTTTTCTAGTAATACTTCTATAGCTGCTTCAAGAGCCTCATCTCCAGGCAGCTCCTACGCATCGAGTACTGCCTGGCTCTACCACGACAGTATTTGGGTAGGAAAACTGTCAAGAATCGCTGACAAATTTTTTCGTCTCTACAAGCTGCCTAGATATTTCAAGGCTTGGAGGAAAGGTAGCCATCTCCATACGAGCGGCAATGTCGTCGATAGCGAGCAAAACGATCCGAAATTGTATGAAGTCGACACACGCGCACAGCCTTCTTCAGGAAATCCAATTTCCTCAACTTCATCTGCTCAAATGGCAGCACGTAAATCTCCATCTCCTCTGACCAGAGCAGCCGTGATCCACCCGGCTAAGGATATCAAGAACGTAACGGTAACTCCAGTCGGTGCTGTCCCCAATGGTGCAGGTGGCAATCCCTTTCAGGATGAGGCGACTGAACTACTAGCTTCAGGATTATGCGACTTTACACCCTTCGCAGAGACTGGCTTTAGAAGGGAAGTGGGGATCGACACTACGTCTACGAAGTTCTTGAACAAGACTTTTAGTGCAACGAGGAGCAAAGCAGGAGAAGTACTAGCATCCACACAAGCTGCAGAACCTGCAGATCATCTTAATCTTTTTCAGAGCGACGCTCTAAACATACCTGAGCCATCGCCATTAGATCCGATAGAAGATGAAAGTATTGTTCTCGACGATGACGAGCAAGGAGTGGGCCCAACAGCTGAAAGCTACAGCCTGCGAGAGACAAGCTACAGCCTGCAAGAGACAACGTTACCACTTCAATCTGCGGCTCTTGGACTGCTGCTACGGTGCAAGTATTTGAACCAGGTAGCTTTTGGCAGTTACAAACGGCATCTTTTGAGAAGAGGACTGCGTGGACTGACGATCGTGTGGAAAGAGAGCAAAGTGCCATTCAAGGTTAAGAAAGGCCTTTTTCTTCTAGAAGATCAACAAGAAGTACTAAAAACCTTCGCTTATCAAGAAGAACCCGACCAGTCTCCACTAGGTCGCTTAGTGGAAGTGGATGAGGACGAACACGAAGATGAGGAGGACTTTGCCAAGAACGAGAGTGAACATCCACCTTTTGATGGAACCACAAGCAATCCTGCAGCAACGTCTTCAAGTTCAAGTCCTAATCCTCAAAAAACGATGAATCTGTATAAGAATCAGACGAGCAAAGTAGACCCAAGAAGTCCTCAAGCAGGAGGTGTATCTTTGACTTATGGGTCGTGTAAGTAGGGAATTCATTTCCAAACCCAAAGTCATCTGGAAGAGAAAGACAAGAGGAAAAAGGGACCCAGATGATCCCTGAGATGAATTCCCGACGCCTCTAATTGACGTCTTCGAAAGAAAGCACTACAACTGGTGGCCCCAGCACAGCTACATCGTCAAAAGTCACGAGTTCTTGCACTTCCGAAGGGTTTAACGAAGATACTAAAATGGTGACAAGTAAGATAAATTGTGTTCAGGAGGCTGATCATGTAGAAGCTCCAGACCATCTGCGTCCACTGCTTAACGAGAAACAGCACATCCTTCTTCGCAAAGCATGGCTTAGATGGAGATCGGAAAGGTGTCGTAGCGAAAGTTATTCACTTGGGGACGAGGAAGGGAGCGGAGATATACGAGAGCGTCCAGGTGAAGACAAAGCTAGAGCTACGTCTTTAACTTCATCTGCAGTACCAGCATTTCTGGCCACGGAAACAACGACCTCAGACACATCAGAGCCATCTTCTAATATCCTCTTCCTCTCGGGGGCAGCAACGCAGCCCCCTTATCCTGAAAGCTGCCTCGTCCTAGGAGACGCGCTAAACCAGTTACGTCAAGAATTGACTGAATCCCGTAAAGCCGTTGAAGAAGAGGCATTGCAGTTAATAGTGTCATTGTCCTCTGCGAGAAGTGCAACAAAAAATGGTAACCATAGAGTACATGAGTATCAAGACGAGCACGACGAGATCCAATATATGCTGAACAAGATACGAAACAGAGGGCGAGGCAAGAAGGTTGTGCAACAACTAGAAGTACTAGATCAGCATGATGATGGTCGTTTTGATGACTCTACAAGTGCGGAAATAACTGCTGGGAGTACTGTGTCCGCCGCCACCACAGCCGGTACGATCTCAACTAGTACTAAACAAGCCAGAAATGTTTATCGATCTACAACCAAGAACAACTACACTACATTTTCCGGCAAACAATCCGCAGTTCACGCCCTTGCCCTCTTAGAGGATACGCAGCAAATGTTGTCAGACTTTCGGAGTCGCACCGCAGTCTCTGCTAGGAGGAGTAGCTTGGAGGAGGAAGCAGAAGTCCAAAAGTTTAGAACGATTCATCCTCGTTCGGCATTGTTCGTAAGGGAGGAGGAGAAGAAGGGTGAAAGGTTTGCATTGGATGAAGAGATCTCGATCTCTAAGGAGAAAGATAATAGTCATATCAGAAATCTTCGAGTCGGTAAAGTTTCTTCTTTGAAAGACTTTTACTTTCTACCTGAGGGTGAAGGTCAAGGTCGACGACTTCGTGCTCAAACAGAGCCAATACAAGCTTCTGCGCAGACCTTCCAAAGACATGCTGCATTTGCAGAAGGACAAGACGAAGTGGGCGATGAAGAACAAGATGGTCGAGAACTTGTGGAGGTTGAGGCTTATGGCGATGAGTTTTTAGAGGCACAAGGAGATCGTGGGAGCAATCTTCTCCAACATAATAGGACAAGGACACCAGAAATAACGAGCGCATCGTTATCAAAGGGCGGTAGGAGTTATACTAGCGAAGCTGGCGTTGTAGAAGTTGGTCGTCGTGTTGTTCATGATACAAAGACGAGTCTGCATTTTACATCCCATAGCCATGCACATTATATTAATCCTATAAAAAGCCCTAGAAGTCCTAGTATCTCAACAGGTTTAAACAGAGATTTGAGAGGTCCAGAAGTGGCTTTGATGTCGCCAGATGACTCCTCATCGGAAGGCGTGGGAACATTAACAACAGGTCTCTCTTATCATGAGCAGCGTAGGCTGTTGTTGATATGAAAGTTCCAAGCAAGTCCTCCACCAAGTCGCGTTTGACTGCGATTGGACTTCAAAAAACGCGATCGGCATTTTTGTGACGCAAGAGAGCCAGCATCACGGAAAAAAACTCGTCGTACGATGTTTGGGTGCCGTCCAGAAAAAGGAATAGTGACGGATGAATTCTCGGAGACGTCTTTGTTTTGTCGGATGCAGGCTCGCTATGCATAAAAATCGTTAAGCGTCTCCAAGAATAACCCACTGTATCTGTTAAATCAATCAGTACTACAGAAGAGAGAGAGAGAGAGACCACCCCCAAGAAGAGCACACGAACCTAAGCAAGTGTTGTACATCTGTGGAGTGATAAATTCTTGTTCTGTGGCTGTAAAACTCTTTCTGCAAGAACCACTCTGATGGTCATGTTGGACATGTTAATTTAAGCGAGAAAATGAAGAGAAGTTGTCCTTGTTTCTAAGTTACCCATATTATTAGTTACCATGCCCCTGAGATCCGCGCCAAGACTCAGAGGACAATAGATACAATAAGACTGCCATTGGAAACTAGAAATCCAGAGAGATCGCCTTGTTCCCGAGGAGCAGTAACGAAAAGCCAGAAATAGCGAGTAGGTGAACGAATAGCAGGAAGAAAAATTAAAGAATAACGCTTAACTACAGGAAGTGGAAACTACCACGTGAAGAATCCAATCTCTATTTTTATTCAACATCCGCGACTACCACTGTAGCTACAAAAAGAAAATGTCCTCCAGTCCCTCAAAACGGAACCCGCCACCGTCAGTGTTGGTCTCCGCGACAGCGACAGATGGTGGGGGAAATGGCGCCAATTTTAAAGAGACTCGCATTACATCGACGTCTACTATTAAGGGAGGGTGCTTGCGGTTGTTCTTGTTTGATGTTGAATTGGCATTCTTGTTGACAAGAAGTGCTACTCCTGTCACCACTAGGAAAGTATAGAAGTTCTTCCGATGTCGAGGTTCGTGGTGCCAAAAACCTCGACTGCAACAACCTTCCCCTTCTAAACCCCTGTCAGCCGCCAGCACATTGCGATCCAATTTCGCATATACCTACAACGCCGGTTCAGAGCAAAGCGGCATAAAAATTCGATCTCAACACGTTATTCGTGGTTGGGAATTGCGGGAATTTTGCAATGTCATAGGAATTCAAGAAAAAGCATTGACGAGTTATACTTCTAGTAGTCCGGGTAAAGGTGGAAGTTGTGGTGCTGGGGATCAAGAGGGCTCCGCAAATAGTGCAACAGGAGGAGCAAGTATTAAGGCTACTAGTTTTTCACTATCCCATGTGGACTATGCTGAGTGAGGATCCACCCCTTGCTTGATTTTTAGGGGAAAATAGGGAGGAAGACGGCAAGTCGCTCAACCAGGCACAGTGAGAAACTAGCAACGCTAAAAGTAGTACAACGAAAGAGGAACTACATCAACAAGATGGAGCAGGTGGAACCACTTCATCTTCTTCCACCACGTACGAACAGCGTGAGCAACAGTTGGAGAAAACGTTGAAACAAATGCGAAAAATCGAAGTTTTGATGGACGTTGTGCCTTCTCCGATTGAAAAATTCTTGTCCCAGTTTACACCAAACTTGGTTTCCCTGAGTCTGATACGCGTGAATCTTACAAAAATCAATATAGTGGGGGTTTTACCCTGTCTACACACTTTGAACCTGTCAGAGAATAGGCTGAGTTCTCTGGTGGGAATCGCAGTAGCACATGGCGCAGGAGCGCATGGGTCGGGAGGAGCGGGAGCAGCGGCTACAAGTCAAATTCCAGTTTAAGGCTGGTTTCAGAAATAATACATAGGGAACGAACGAAGTTAGTAGATGGAGATTAGAAGTTAGATAATCGAAATAATTGGGTAGATGCGCTGAAAGATGTTGTGCTTATGGAGGTTGCACATGCTGATGCTGCAATAAGACGTACACCTCTTCTAATCAATCGAACAACACGATCCTAACCAAGGAAGCACGCAAGATGGCGGGAAACGATCTAGTACACATGGACCTGTCAAAACTCGTGTCAAGGATTCACCTCCAGCATCCTCATCTCCATCCAAGAAGAACAGTTTTTCCGCAGCAACTACTGCAGGAACATCGTCTCCAGCTAAAAACACTTCGACGATTTCAGCATCCAAAAGCAATAAACTTGGAGTAGGAGATGTTCAGGCTTCGGGAACCTCTTCTGCGGCGTTCTTGCCGGAACCAGTATCGGACACACCGGGACTGAAGAGACTCTATGTAGATACTTGGAGTTGGAAGTCATCAAATTTGAAATTGAAAAGAGACTGCTTCTTGCATGACACCTACATACAACTCTATGGATCTTTGTCATCATTTTCTTTGTCATCATCTTCTTTGTCCTCTTCGTCTTACTTTTCTGACAATCAATGGCGACTCTTTTTCATCCCAGTAATGCTTCAACACGAACGGCCACAACAGCTTTGCGACAACGAGTTCGTTGGTCGCATTAGTCGCACCGAATTACGTGGCCTGAAAAATCTCGAAATCTTATGGATGTCCAGAAACCATTTAACGACGCTGCGCGGCTTCGATGCCCTGAAGTCATTGCAAGATTTGAACGTAGCAGGGAACAGCTTGGAACGCATAACGGCAGAGGATTTGCTGGGACCACGAGCAGCGGTGCAGAGTGTCGGAGGAAGGCAAGGAGCAATTGTGGTATGAGAGGAGGTTGTAGTTGATGTTGATGAGAATTAGATGGTAGTTCTTGTTGATGTTGAGTACCACCATTGCTAAAGCAAGAACGAAGTTACCTAACTCATATTCCTGAGGTTCGATTACCCTCGGGGAGCTTTCGCTCATACATAATTCCAAGTTCTATAATGCCTCAGGCCACCTCCTCCCACCCCAACGAACCCATCCCTCTTCTCACTCTCATTCCCCGACATTTCCACAACCGCCACCGGTTTGTCTTCTCCTTCAAGGCAACCACCTCAACATAGTGCTCGCTCAACATCGAAGAAGCCTCTAGGCCTGTCGAGAACCCTGGAGAGCCTCAACCTGGCGAAGAACAATATCGCGAATTTCATTGACATTCTAGATCTCAGGGTTTTAGCTGGCCTTCGAGATCTGCACTTGATGGACCCGGATTATGGAGAAAATCCGATCTGCGGGTTGTGCAACTATACTGTGGCACTGGTACACATACACTAGAACTGGAACTGCTCGAATTCAGGAGTACTAGTTTACTACAACAGCATGAGCTTGACACGAACCCTAAACCCTAAACCCAACCCTAGATAATTTTGTATCTGACTCAGTATTTCTGTCAACGCGCATCTTCCACTTCCTGCCACACTTCTTCACCCATCCCCATTACTGGAAACAAGCACTAATACCTTGCCTATGTCTGATCGGTTTCGATGTTATGATGCTTCCAATTTTCACCATACTGGTAATATCTTCGCCTGCTATAGGTCCATTACTTCAAGCACTTGCAGATGGTTGACTGGCAACGCCTAGACCTTGAGATGGTCCGTCGGAGCGATGAGGTTTGGAAAAGGAAAGCTCTGTACTATGAGATGGGCATACAAGGCGTCACCAGACATTAAGGCAACCAAGAGAGCATCCAGTTCCCGTATCATCCTTCGCGATTTTCCACCTAAGGGGAAAGCCACTAGGGATCGATGCAGTCAGGGATGTTGCGAACGTGGTAGCTCTAAAGACAACTGCAAACGGCATTAGGCATCGCGGAGGATCTGTTTGAATCTAGACGCGAGTTGTTACAGCGCGACTCAGAAGAGTTGTGCCATTTATTGCATGCATGCCTGCATGGAAGCACACCAGAAGTAGTGGAGAAGATTTATAATGGAAGTTGTGGTGGTCGTGGTGGGTCCGGAATGGGAACCTGTGGAGATCCTGGTGATGATAACATCATGGAAGATCAAGATTCTACAAGTAGATCAAGAAGAACTACATTGAAAAAGGGGAACTATAACGATGATGACTTATCCATTTGGGACACGTCAACGGCACTAGCAACAATCCCAAAACAAGACCAAAATAGTAAACAAAGCAATCTTCTAGCACAAGCGCAAGCTGAACTACAAGTAGAAGAACAAGACGACTTTGCAGCAACTGGAGGCATGTGTCCGGATGTTTTCCTGGCGGAAACCTTACGATGTCTAGGCACAGTCGGCGAACGGGACAGTGAGCTCGTAGCCAGGTCAGCGGCAAGTAGATTGTTGAAGATGTTTGTGCGGCTCCGAAGTCAGCTAAACTTCTGGGAAACGGATTTTCTTCGGTATAAACACGAGGCTCAAGTGCTACACGCGAAGTGCGTCAAGAATTTGCAACAAGGTACTTTGCCTAGCTTTACTGTGACTTGGTGCTGATGTATGATAGCCTAGCGCTCCTTTCACCAGAGAATCAGATGTAGCGTATTCAGTACCTTTTTACTTCTCAGAAATTGCCCCTTCGCCCATAATTTTTCTCCTACAGAACTCGCCCTCGGTGGCAACATCCATTTCGAACTACCCGGAAGGGAAAAAGAGGGCGGCGCCGAGAAGGAGGAATGGGAAGGGCTCTGCGAACAGTTAGTGAGGACATCTTGGACCGCCTTTCGCTCTAGTCTGGCTTACGGTGGGAGTGGGAGAGGCAGTTATTTTCTCGGAAAAAGTGTAGCAGGAGGTTCGTCATCTTCGCCTGAAGATTCTTCTAGTGACATTGGCGGAGGAGGTCTCCATGAAGTGACCTCTTTGTCCACCTCTTCTACCTTCTCGAGCTCTGTTACTGCTCAGATGGAAAGAGTGCTGTCCTCGTCTCAGAGCAGCTATCCACCAGGAGCAGGATCTTCTCCAAATGCAAATGCCGACTACAGTACAATATTCGACCATTTGGAGGACATCCGAGTAACTCGGGTTTGCCGTGTACATACGAACTTCAGAAGTGTAGACTTGCACGCAGGCGACGATGTGGGTGTGGGTCATAGTGCTAGTGCTGGGTCGTCGGGTGGAGGAGGGGGAAAGTTGAGTCACCAAACTGGTTCATCTTCAAGTAGTGGCCTTTACATTGGGAGTAGTCATAGTAGTGGCGCATCTTCGTCAGATCTGTCATTACAACAGCTATCAGCGAATGC